GTTAATTGTAAATGAATAGAAGAAGACAACAATTAATATAAAGTTGTTTGTACCATACTTAAAGCCTCCGTATTTAGATCTCGTATAAATACTCGGGGGACTCAAATGTAATTATGTAATAAATGAAGGGGCAAATATGTAATAAGTGAGGAGCCCTTATTCTATAAAATGACTCCTCACTCTCCTCATTAGGGGAGGCCAAGTTTTAGGCTATGGGAAAAGAGCACACAGAAAATAGGCTAGAGAGCACACTGCCTCTAGCCTTCTTGTATATTCACCATTCAGAGTGAAACAATATCAACATCAGTGTGGACGTAGCCCAAATATTGGGGTGAACCACAAAAGTTATAAACCAAACTATACAAAACAAATAATTACCTTCTTCACACTCTTGATAAAATTCAAGCTCCGCTAGACTTGCTTCATACTCAATGTTGCTAATTTGTTCACTTCTTAACCAGTTTTGGAGGCATATCAATGACTCCACTGTTTGAGGATGGAGAGATGATCTAAAGGGATCAATTACTCTCTTTCCTACACTAAATGCACTCTCACTAGCAACTGTTGACACTTGAATTGGCAATACATCTTTCGCTATCAAAGCTAGTGTGGGATATATGCTCATTCTTTCCACATTCCACCATTTCAAAACGTCAAACGGTTGACCATGTGGTACTTTCTCTAGAGTATCAATGAGATACCTATCCACCTCATGTGCAAGCGCAACTCGATGTCGTCTAGTTCCTTCTCCCAATCATCCATCATTTGACTAAATATCTGGATTTTCTGTTGGTACACTAGAAGATGATTGTTTTACCCTTGAACAAGTAGTGTCAACAACTAAATCTTCTTTACTTTTTTGTTGTGTTTGTGAACTGAAAGCTTGTTGAGCATATTCATCACACATCGCCTTCAACAATGTCTTCACTTCATTACTTTACTGTTGAATCTCTTCTTCAGGAAGCTATAATTGCTTTCTACACAAGTGCATGTAGTGCCTCAATTTGAACCCTGGGTTTATGACAAGGGCAATACAAATATTTGATTAAGGGACTCAATTGAACCAAAATATTTTCGGTATTTGCCTCTTATGCTCATTGTCATATCACATAGCACCAACTCTACAGTTCCTCTAGTTTCCATATATTCAGGCAAAAAAAGCTTTTCAATCTCATTCTACATAACAATGACATCATGAACAGCTATATTAGATGTGAGATACTTAATTGCACTGACTTTCAAAGTTACAAGATAGAAGACATTGAAAAATTCCACAAACACTTCTGCACCATCCCAATCTTCCTCCTTATGTGGTCCAACCTTCCCTTTACTCGCCACTTCTTCTCCTTCATCATTAAGCACCCTTTCCTTGAAATAGGTGGAGTATATATTGGCTTCATCATCTTCGAACATCCTTTCAAATGCTTTTTAAACTTCAAGCAAAGATTCTAGCATCATGTATGTACTATTCCACCTAGTAGGCACATCCATAACAACTAAACCCCTACTATCCAACTTCTCATTCTCCACACATTTCTTGAAATAACTAAACCTTCGGGTACTTGATTTGACAGACCGCACAACATTTCTAAAAGCATCCACACTTGTATCTAATCTTTTCAACCCATCTTTCACTACCAAGTTGATAATATGAGCTAAGCACCTCACATGCATAAACTTTCCATTCATAATAATTTTACTATTAGGCAATTTTTTGCATTTTGCGAACAACATACTCAATTGCCACCTTATTAGCCGATGAATTATCAACTGAGATACACATCACCTTTTCAATCTCTCACTCAACCAAACATTGCTCAATCAGCTTCCCTATTTCTTTGCCTTCATGACTTGAAATTATACAAAAGTTTAGAATCCTTTTGTGCATATTCCATTCATCATCCACAAAATGAGTGGTTAACACCATGTAGTTCAAATTTTGCACACTTGTCCATGTATCAGTAGTCAAGCTCACTCTATGCTTGTGTATCTCCTTTTTTAAGTGATATTTCATGGTATCAGACATATTGAATAACTCCCTCACAATAGTTCTCTGAGATGGAACATGCAATCTAGGCTGGACTTTGCACATCATCCGCCCAAACCCCTCCCTCTCCACAACACTAAAAGGTACCTCATCAATCACAATATACTGAACAATACCATCCACACTTTCTTCTTGGCTCCACCCTCTAGCAACAAGCATGTTTTTAATGACCCCAGAAGGTCCAAAACTGCCTAGAACTGCCTAGAACCTTTTGCAACTCATCGATTGGTTTATACACCTTGGAATGTTTGTTGATATGTTTAATGTAAGTACTAGTTCCACCCCCACTAGTATCACATGCAAAAAGGGCATTACAATGGTTACACTTAGCCTTCAATGCTTGTACCTCCACCATCTCTTTCTTTCCATCATTTTCTACTTCTTGTAGTTTCGAGACGGTACACTTAGTGACATGATCCCAAACCCAAGATCTCTAATAAGAAGATTTCTCTAGTGAAGCTAATATAGTTGGTTGTTTTGTCTTTGGAATAGTTAGTGTTTTTCTTTTTCTGAAGGATGAGGGTTTTGGGGGAGGCATTGATGATTTTGATTGTGTGGGTTGTGTTGGTTGTGGAGGACATGGTGACGTGACCGTAGATGATGCTACATTAGTACTGAGGGTACTTTGACTTTGAGACATAATGTAGAAATCTGTAAAAATTAAATAATAGAAGTATATTCATTAATCATATAAAGAGAGAAAAATGCATGCCAATTTCATGAAATTACCACAAAATATTAAGCATCTCAAGAATCCATGAACTTATTCTTTCAAATTCAGGAAAGTGTTGTATACATATAGAAGGATAGGAGAAATATCTAATGCCTTAATGCCTCCTTGTCTCCAAGATTACACCAACACCACCATAACGATACATACATATATAGTTCTATTTATAATTCAGTGCCCCACTTTACTTGCAGATATTTCAAAAAATAGATGACATATATATCACGTTATTTAACACCCCATATTTCTAAAAATAGGTTGTACCTGTACATATTAATGGAATAGGATAAGGGCCATAACTAATAACAACAAATCATTAGTAACAGACAAGTTTTGGCTGTTATTACTCGCCACTACACTTTTCTAGTGCCATCCCTATTTTTCAGAGGCAATCTATAGAAAAATATCAAGAAAGCATTAAGTACTTACATTTGTTGGGTTCCAAAGAAGAAGAATGCATAAATTGGTTTTCCAAACAGCACATAGTCAAATAAGCATAATTTACATATATACAACCTAGTAGAATAAGCATACATGAAACCCTAATAAAAACTAGAAGAGGAAAAAACCCCAAATATAAAGTAACATTTTCTCTCTGAAGTGAGAGTTCTTCTCTCTGGTGTGAGAGTCTTTCTCACTGTGTCTGTGTGACCTTTAGTTTCAAGCAGTTCATGTGGTACCGGCCCTAGCTTCGACTGGGGTTGGTTGTTGTGTCCTCTTCTCCCTTTTCTCATTCTCTTCTCCCTACATCCACAGTTGGTCCTACCCAATTTTCAATTCAACTTATCTTATTCCTCAACCTCCGTGGGTAATCCTCTTTCTGGTTCGTCCTTGCTTTGTTTTCAGCCATGTTCTTTTATGGAATTCATGTGTAGAGTTTCGGCGCTGTCTTCGGCTCGGGTGTCTCCAACACCACCACGTTCTCCTTGGTGTTTGCCGATTTCGGCAATGTTGCTCAGGAATTTTTCTGAGCTTCAACTTGGTGATTGGCCTATTTCGCTTTGATGTCGATTACCCCTTGATTATGGTTGTGCGCAAGATGCGTCAGTGAAGGAGATGATCGGCGGTGGTCGGCGAATTGGTTGGCTAGAAGCTCCTTGGATCAATGGTGGAGAATGTTGTGGATGTTTCTCGGCTGTTTTTTTTGTTCTTGGGCTTTTGGGCTCTGTTTCTGTTTCTGTTTAGGCCCTTTTTGGTTGTTTCTAGGTGTTGTTGGGCCTTTGTATGTTTGTAAGTTTGTGCTTGGTTGCAATAAAATATTCCCCTTTGACCAAAAAAAAAAAAACCCAAATCTGAAAACGCAGTTCTTGATCCAATTAAATTCAAAATTGCCTACTCAGATTGAAATCCCAATCCCAATCCTAACCAACTAACCTAGCTTTTCGTTTCTAGGGTTTCATCATTAATAACCAAACACTCCAAATCCCAGCACAAATCCCAAATCTCAAATCCCAAATCCCAAATCCCACTCCCATCAAAACAGATCCACAAATCCTTCACCCAAATGTTCATGCATTCATCAAATTATTCCCACTTAAAGATTTATTCTCTAATCAAATCCCATTATTCATGCTACTGATCCTCCACATCAACAAAAATTAAATTCGAAAAAATTAAATTAAATTTTAAAATATATTGGGCAGAATTATGGTAGCATTATCGTCGAGGCTGGTAGCAATTCAATTTTCGGGGAAGTAGACTTACGGTAGCCGACCAAGTAAAAGAATCTAGGTTGGTAGCAGTGTCCTCGACGTCAGTGATGAGGTGATGACGGTCGCAATGGCGGTGATGTTGTCGAAGATGAGAGAATCGAGGTTCTAGGACCTGGGTTTTCTAGGTCCTCAGATGTCGTCGAAGATGGGGTGATGGTGGTCGTGATGGTGGTGATGGGTTGGGTTTTCTGGGATGTCGTCGAAGTCGAGGGAGTTGAAGGAGTGACAAATGGTGGAGAGGTGGGAGTGAGAGTGCGAGACTGATTCCCGCCCTGCCCCGTTTATTTTTTAAAACATTTGGAACTGACCCTACCCGCCCCGAATCTAGATTACCCGCCCCAACCTGCGGTTCCTCTACCGGTTTGCCCACCCCTACCATTGATCAGAAACCGGTTTGGGCCTTTCTGTTCAGTTACCAAACCAGCCCAGCCCAGCCCTCAAATAGTTCATTACTTTACACGTCATCTTTTATATCCACCTACCATTTGGATCCTCCTCCGATAGAGTTTAACCTCCAAAACAGCCATGGAATTCCACTGAAATCAAACCACAAGCTCCTCCTCCCCCTTCAACTTTCTTCAACTTGAACCAGAAAAACAATGTCACTGTGCTTCTCCTCCCTTGTATTCAATCTCCATCCCGCAAAGAACCAAAGCTTCATATCCCGTTTCTCTTCTCAGTTCACCCACCAAACCAGCAAGGTAAGCTCTGTTCTTTCTGCTTTTTCACCATCTTGTCCGTTAAACTTATCTGAAGTTTTGAATTTTAGAACAGATATATTGAAACCCATATCAGCTACATCGAACCCAGTTGCTGAAATCACCAATCCACCATCGTTCCGCGGCAAAAACCCAAAAGACATCAACATTTTGGTGGTGGGTGCAACTGGGTACATTGGGAAATTTGTAGTTAAGGAGTTGGTTAACAGAGAGTTCAATGTTATAGCCATTGCTAGGGAGAATAGTGGAATTCGGGGTAAAGTTAGCAAGGATGAGACTCTGAAAGAGTTGAAAGGTGCAAATGTGTGCTTTTCGGATGTGACCGATTTGGGTGTTTTCGAGAAATGTTTGGAAGATTTGGGGATTTCGATTGATGTTGTTGTTTCATGCCTTGCTAGCCGTTCTGGGGGTGTGAAGGACTCTTGGAAGATTGATTACGAGGCTACGAAAAACAGTCTTGTCGCCAGTAGGAAGCGTGGGGCTTCACATTTTGTGTTGCTTTCTGCAATTTGTGTGCAGAAGCCCCTCCTTGAGTTCCAGCGTGCAAAGCTGAAATTCGAGTCAGAGTTAATCAAAGAAGCAGAGGAGGATAATGGGTTTAGTTATAGCATTGTAAGGCCGACGGCCTTTTTTAAGAGCTTGGGTGGTCAGGTTGAGTTGGTGAAAGATGGCAAGCCTTATGTGATGTTTGGAGATGGGAAGTTGTGTGCTTGCAAGCCAATCAGCGAGGCAGATTTGGCTTCATTTATTGCGGATTGTGTGTTGAGTGAGAACAAGATTAACCAGATTTTGCCTATCGGAGGACCAGGTAAGGCATTGACGCCCTTGGAGCAAGGGGAGTTGCTGTTTAGGCTTGTGGGAAGGGATCCCAAGTTCTTGAAGGTGCCCATTGAAATTATGGACTTTGCTATTGGGGTTCTCGATTTCCTTGTAAAGGTATTTCCTTCAATGGAAGATACTGCTGAGTTCGGGAAGATTGGAAGGTATTATGCAGCTGAGAGTATGTTGGTTTTGGATCCTGAGACCGGAGAATACAATGCTGAGAAAACGCCGAGTTATGGCAAAGACACATTGGAAGAATTCTTTGAGACTGTGCTGAGGGAGGGGATGGCCGGTCAGGAATTAGGCGAACAAACGATTTTCTAAGAATTTGTGGCGTGATTAGAAAATTTGTACATTCAGTTTCTCAGTTGGTTGAACAAGTTTTGTGCAATAGTCTGCTTTCGGGTATGCAGTTTCTCATCTGTACACCAACTGTGTTTCATATCGGTGACAAGCTATTCATTTTTCTAGCATTGTTGTGAGATACTTAACTGATACTTCAGTTGCATCAATATATCATCAGATTGGTTGCTTAAGTTGGTTGTGTGGGTTCCTTCCCAATATAGCGTATCCAACGCAGTTCAAATCTCCACGATCGCTACATACATTTGCATTCGCTTTCTTCGCATATTGAAGATGGAAACCATGTCATAATTCCTTTGTGATTTTGGTTATGTTAATACATCATTAAAAACCCAGGAAACAGGTCTGCATTTGCAACAGCAACTAATTCTCATTCATTTGCACTGAGAAGAGAACACGTGAATGTAACGATACAACACGAATCAATACCTTAGACTGCAATTAGGCAACCAAACCGAGTATCAGCTGCATAATAAGGCATTCATATAGTTTGTCAATCATGTGGGTCCGATGTTTGTATTGCAACGGTTGATACAAATTAGGGAACAAAACACGACTTACCACATCAAGAAATGCAAAATGGAGCAACAACTTTGGTGGGAAAATTGGCTTCCAGATGACTGAAATGGATGCTAGTGTTGTAAGAAGAGCTTAGAGGCCTGCAACTGATAGAGCCACCACAAATTATCTAAAACAAGAAACATTAAACCTTGGTAATGCTTTGTGAATAGGGATGGGCAACGGTTATGGCGGGCGAGTAACCGCAGTTATTTACCCATAACCGTTTATACTCGTACCCGCATAACTGTTTACCAGTTGGGTAATTGCCTAAACGGTTATACTCATACCCATAACCGTTTATAAACGGTTAACCATATCCATAACCGTATACTCATTTAATCGTAATCGTTTAATATCCGTTTACCCATTTATCCTTTTTAACCCGTTTATCTTTCTTTTTTTTACCATTACCCATTTTTCACCCGTCTATATGTTTTTTAACAACTTGAAAATTAAAAAAAAAAATTGTCATAATTTTCTTTTTTTTGACAATTAAACACCATTATAGGTACTTCATCATACATTTCCATATTTTAATTTTTTTAAGTCCTTATACCATTCCAATAATTGAAATAATAGTTTACAGACGATATTTTTAACTGTTACCAATGAAGGTAAATATAATATTTGCTAAGTATTATTGGGTTACAAAAATTGTTTAAAAGACATTTCTGTCAAAACATTTTTGTCAATTTCACGGTTACCCGCAAGAAATTTAAATTAATTTAGCCAATTTCTTAATGATGAGAATCATCATTCCTGTAGCAGTGTTATTAAGAGAATGACCGATGAATTCCTTGCTAATTTATTGAGTGCTAAGTATTATTGGATCGAGAACATGATTTGTGTTAGTTATATATATATAAAATAAATAGGTAAATGGTTACCCGTTTATAACCGTGGTTAATACCTATAACCGCTCATTTACATTTCGTGGGTAAACGGTTATACCCATAACCGTTTATTTATCTAAATGGTTACCCATAAACGTAACCGTTTAATTTAAATAGACGGGTAACCGCGGTTACACATAACCAATGAGTATTTGCCCATCAATATTTGTGAATAACTAGAATACGATAAATTTATTTGGACAGACTTCCTGCAACTGTCACTCACTGCCACACTTTCTAGTACACGTGAACTGGATAATGGTAGTTTTTCTTTTTTTTTCTTTTTTTTTTCTGGTAAACAATGATAGTTTATGTTTGCCACATGATTGATTGTGGTTGTACGCAAATAATGCAATGTTCTCTCCTTGTGGAGACCACAACTAATTGATAAATTAGATACCCCAATTTTGTTATGAAGAAATTGTTGCATGTTTGATCCATGCTACCCGTAAGATTATTAGAAAATTGTATTGTGGGGTGAGTGACATGCATGGGGTTGCAAATTCAACTTGATGCCATTCAATTATTATGCTTTTAGAAAGGCTCACTGGTAGCGTTCCAAACCAATCATGCGATTTTATTTATAAAAAAAAAAATTAGAATACGTAGCAACGTGTGATAAGTTTGAGACATTATCAACTATGTGTCTCCTTTTGTTCAAGTCCATTTCACAAGTTTAAGTACACCTTGCTCTAAGTCTAAGAAGATATATTATATATTAAAAAAAAAAAAAAAAAAAAAGAGTACTAAATTTAGATTAAATCAAATTAGAACGCCAGGATGAGATCAGTTGTACAGTGATCGAAGATAAAGTCAGATTCTACTTTCTAAAAAATTGTTTCTTTTGCAAAAGAAAAGAAGATTAGATGGAATCCATGTTAAGGGAAGGAAAAGTAAAGATTAATTAAAAACTAAAAGATCTACCATGAAATCCTTCCGATACATGTTCTTAGCTAGGGAGAAAAGCGCACACACAAATACAGCGTATCCAATGCAGTTCAATCCTCCACGATCGCTACATACTTTTGCATTCGCTTTCTTTGCATATCGAAGAAGACGGAAAACATGTCGTAATTCCTTTGTGATTTTGTTATGTTAATACATTAGTAACTGGTCTGCATTTGCAACAGCAAATAATTCTCATTCGTTTGCACATATAGAACACGTGAATGCAACGATACAACATGAATCAATACCTTAGACTGCAAGTAGATAACATTTACAATTTAAAAGAAGCTGTAAAATAAGAAATCCAAATTCTAAACTTCCACCATAGGTCTTAGAAACAATACAAGACAAATCAGAGACAAGATATACCATACAGGTAGGCAACATTTACAAAATAAAAGAACCTCTAAACATACACAAATGCAAACACTAAGGTTCGATAAGGCACGCGCGCACACTAGTTGAAGGCATACTGTGGGTAGGATTCTAATACATTTAGTTATCTTCTTCAATCTTGGCGAATTTTTTTGTGAAGGGTGAAAGTTGAGAGCCAGACCAGAAGAACCAGCAAGACCGAGGCAAACAGCGAGGTAGCGAGGGAGCCTGCTATGTGCTTACAGTACTTGTCAAAAGCTGAGCACACCTTCTGCCACATCACATGTTCATTACCCTTGTATCCGATATAAGCAACACCCCCGGCTGTGCCGGTGGCTGAGGCAACCAAACCAAGTATCAGCTGCATAATATGGCATTCACACATATAGTTTGTCAATCCTGTATGTCCGATGTTTGTATTGCACCTGTTGGTACAAATTAGAGAGCAAAACACAACTTACCACATCAAGAAATGCAAAATGGAGCAACAACTTTGGTGGGCAAATTGGCTTCCAGATGACTGAAATGGATGCTAGTGTTGTAAGAAGAGCATAGAGGCCTGCAACCGATAAAGCTGCCACAAAGTATCTAAAACAAGAAACATTAAACCTAGGTAAACGTTTTGGGATTAGATATTCACATGTAATCTTTTGTGAATAATTAGAATACAATAAAATAATTTGGACACACTTTGTAATACATGTAGACTCTACCTGTGTTAGAATAATGATAGTTTATGTTTGCCACATGATTGATTGTGGTTGTATGCAAATAATGCAATGTTTTCTCCTAGTGGAAACCACTACTGATTGAGAAATTAGATGACCCAATTTTGTTATGAAGAAATTGTTGCGTTTTTGGTCCATGCTATCCCTAGATTATTATGAAATTGTATTTTGGGGTGAGTGACATGGACGGGGTTGCAACTTCAACTTGATGCCATTTAATTATTTTGCCTCTAGGACAAAGCTCAGTGAGCGTCTCAAACCAATCATGCGATATTATTTAAAAAAATTAAAATATTTAGTTACGCGTGATAAGTTTGGAATAGGAGTCATCTGTTCCATATTCACAAGTGTAAATCTCTTGCTCTAAGTCTAAGAAGATATATTGTATATTAAAAAAAATAAAGGATCTACCATGATTAAAGATAAAGTCAGATTCTACGTTCTTAAAAACAAAAAATTCTTTTGCACACAAAAAGAAGATTGGATGGAATCCATGACCATGTTAAAGGAAGGAAAAGTAAGATTAATTAGATTGATTAAACACTAAAGGATCTACCATGAAATACTTCCTATATATACAAACAAATACATGTTCCTAGCTACTAGCTACGGAGAAAAACACATACACACACAAATACAAATTCAATCATGAGTATTTTACTGTTCTACTGACATAAGTTAATCCAGCTCATCCGCTAATTAAACTGATTAAATTAATCATGGAGATAAAAGTCGATTCGTAGTAAACCCGGATTTGTCAATATACAGATCGGGTAAAACTATTCAGAGTTGTAGAAAAAAGTCGGACAATAGTAGGTATCATATTCGATCAGAAGAATATAACAAGAAAGAAAATTTTAGTTATTCCTTGACTATCAAGAAATTTCGTTTATTCGATTCTCCTGGAGAGAATATTTGTTCAACTTTTAATAGAATTAATTAGAGGGCACCAAGAGTGTTTTCTGTGCCAAAGAAGAGTAATCAAACACCTTGAAACCTTTACCTGCAACTATATATATATATATATATATATATATATATATATATATATATATATATATATATATATATATAAGTTATTTTACTAAATTATATGTGCATGTTCGGGTGCTTGAAGTTACTCACATGAAAGCAGGAGAGTGATTAAACTTGGCCTTAACTGGGAAACGACCTCGGAATACTGTTTGCTTGCTAGTGACCATGACCAACACACTTGTCAGTGATGCTGCGAACACTAAGAACCTGATAGCCACATCAGCTAGAAAGAGGTAGTCGGGTTTAGGGGGAGGAGGCGTGGCTTCGGACTCCTCCTTTGATGGCGGTGGGACTACCTTGGTGGCGGTTTCTGGGTCAGCTGGCTTATCCGTGGTTCCCATGGAAGCTGCGGGTATCTAGTGCTCAAATAAGTTGCTGAAGCAGAAGTCCAAGTGTAGTACTTGTAGTAGTAAATGGTGGTGGTGGATACATGGAAGATATTGGACTATGAACATGTATTTTTATATGATGTTTGGGGCACACTAAAATGGTTCAAATCCAAATTTGGTTGGAGTTTCCTGTACGCCAAGTGAATTGATATGAAAAAGGGTTTAGTTGGTTGGGTGTGAACCATTTGATCATTATCTGATAGACCATAGACTTCCTTGCTTTATTTTCTCTCCTAAATGTCACTAAATAAATGATTAGGTTAGAATAGTACAGAGCAAATGATAGCTTTCTTATAAAAATTATAATTAAAAGAAAATTATACCATTTAGTCTCTATCTCAGAGGGAAAAGATCAGAAATGGACTGGGGTAATAGGAAACTAAATTGAACTTGTTGTATTAACCAAAAAATATAAATAAATTGCATTTGTTGTATGGTTATATTTTGTAAGATGAATTGTCGATTTAGTCCTTGAATTATTTATGAATTATTTTTTTAGAAAAACAAGTCCCTCAACTCATTACAAAGAGCCAATTTCATTCTTGCCGTTAGATTTCAAACTTTTTCATGTAATTTTCTATTAATTTAGGTTATATGACTTGCACATGACATAATTTGAAGGGTAAAATTGCCATTTCATCGCTCATGACACAACTAGGAGAAACATCCATCTCCCCATTTTTCCTGCTCAATTTTCCCCAGTTTTGAAAACTTTAAAGCCTAGTTTGCAACTTTTTTAGTTGGGAATCTGCCTATTAGCTAGGGTGAGGAAACGTAAATTCAAGACTTTGAGTGCAACGCTCAATGCTCTTAAACTGTGTTACAAACTCTTTGCAGCTTAAAGTGGTTAATTAAGAACTTATATATTTTTGCATACACGATTTTGTGTTTTATTCCCTCTCCATTGGTCAACGTGAGATGTTACAATCCACCCCCCTTAGGGGTCCGACGTCCTCGTCGGCACATTCGTATTGAACGGCAGAGTTGCTCTGATATCTTTCTGTCACATCCTAGGCTTGACTCCGCCGTAACACGATATTGTCCGATTTGGACCCCGGCCACGCCCTCACGGTTTTGTTTCTGGTAACTTACGAGAACAACTTCCTAGTGAGTCACCCATTCTGGGATTGCTCTCACCCAAACTCACTTAACTTCAGAGTTCCTACGGAATCCGAAGCCAGTGAGTTCCCAAAGGGCCTCGTGCTATATGGAGGTGAGCATGTACATAAAAGGCACACCACCCCCTTTCCGTTGGTCGATGTGGGTGTTACAAAAGACAAATATTTCTTACTCAAGTACTTTCCAAACCCCATATCCGTCATGTTATCTTGACAAATTACAATTGCGTGCACTAGGGTTTAATTGTAGTTTAAAGTCACATCAAACACATAATTTGCGTGGTGTTATTCCAACCTTTAGAACCGCTAATTATTAGTATTCTTTCTCTTTATCCTATTTTTTTCTTCCACCCGGATATTAGATTATGCACTAATAATGATGAAGAAATTGAATTAAGTTTAAGCTAATTCTGCTTAATTTGTTTCTTTTTCCCCATTCGGATCAACCAAACAGAATACAAATACTATGGGCGCTGATCTGACGTAAAACAAAGGCAAATGTCTCTTTCTCTTTTCTTTTAATTTTTTAATCAAACATAAATGATTGAAAGAAAAATTATATGACAAATATTAAGGAAACTCTCTCAAAAGTGAGACCTTTCGTAGACTCTGTCACCTCATATTTTTTAACAATGTTTGATAATGTTGGCATGAAAATTAACGTTAAACTGTGAGGTAACAGAGAATTCATAAAAAGTCTAACTTCTGAAAGAATCTCCTTAACATTTTTTTTCATATAGTTTTTCTTCCAATCATTTGCGTCTGATTAAAAAATTAAAAGAAAAAAGAAAGAGACATTTGCCTTTGTTTTTACGTGAGATCAGCACCCATATTATTCTTATTCTGCTTGGTTGATCCGAAGGGGGAAAAAGGAAACAAATTAAAGCAGAATTAACTTAAACTTAATTCAATATCTTAATCATTATTAGTGCATAATCTATTATCCGGGTGGAAGAAACAAAATATGATAAAGAGAAAGAATACTGATTCTAGAGATTGGAACAACAACACGCAAATTATGTGTTTGATGTGACTTTTAACTACGAATTAAACTATAGGTATTATCATAGTGCACACAATTGTATTTTGCTTCTCTCCCAAGAAAGTGGCCAACCTTTTCTTTTGATCTGTAATCTGTATATATCACCTACCATTCAAGTTCAAGCGAGAGACCTTCAAGAAAGCTTTTCAGCTAACTACTTCCACATAACCTTCAAGAAATTCAGTGCAGAAAGATGATGATGGAATCATTATAATAATAATAATGTTCATCTCTAGACGGACACTTCAGAGTGTGAAAATAGGTGGATTATAAGATATGGATCTTATCCTTTTTGTGTGTGAAAATAGTCTACGTAGTGTTGGTTGAACGAAATGGGTGTTTATATATTATGAGTTACGTAACCATCACTTGGGTCACTCCTGCTTTCACTAAATAAGTAATTATGTATCTCATGAATTTTTCTTTTTCACTTTTTGGGTATACAATTTAGGCATACCCATATAGGCTTGTTCGATCATGTTTTGGAATTAGTTACTGTAAACGCCTCCAATTTAAGCTCAATAAAACGTGTCCATTCATCTATTTCTAATCTTGAATTGATATGAGAGAAGCTACGGAAATGGATCTTAGAGTGTCTCTATGGTTTGACAGGTCTTACGTATTCATTTAGTCATTGTAGAGATACGTATGGCAGTAGTTACCGACCCTTTACGCACTTTTGTGATAGTCCGTGCTTAACTTAATAGTACACTGTCTCTATTAATTTTGTTGGCGGAAGTAATGAATTTAAATCTCCTTAAAGATGGATATTGGATAAGAAGGAAGAAAGAGCCTCATGAATTCCAAAATTCCAGAAATGTTTATGATCATATATTATTAACCATTACAAACTCACGCTATATTACAATAAGAGAGAGCTAGCATACATTATAAGTACAATTAATACGGGATGTTTGGATCACAACACTCAGGTCCGCGCATACACACGCATATACATACATACGCGCGTACAGAAAATGTTTCTAAAGCGTTAAGTAGGTGTCCCTGATACTAATTGAAACTGTGGTGGTGGGCTGATCCGTTTGGAGGAGATCCTTTTGGATAGAGTGATGACGGAGGTCCACAGAAGCAAGACAAGCAAAATGGAGGCTACTAAAGAAACCCCGAAAGAGACCCCGAGATGTCGACAGAATTTGTTGTAAGCATAGCAGGAATCCGACCATCTAAAATCTTCATTGCCCCTTAGCAAGATATATGCAACACTTCCAGTAGTGCCTGTGGCCGACGCTATGATCCCCAATATCAACTGTGTCACATATTTTGCCAAGATTAGTTATACATATACCTTTATTTTTATGTAGATGTTTGTTCTTACTATACAAAAGTACTCGCCAGATCGTGAATATGGATCGTTGGTAAATTTGATTAATGATTTGGATGTATAATTTAAATTCAGTCTATTATTAGCATATAAGCATAGAGAGAGAGAGAGAGAGAGAGAGAGAGAGAGAGAGCGAGCGAGCTAACCACATCAAAAATCGCAAAAAGGACCAAGACTGCTGAGGAAGCTGGTGCTAAGATAACTAAAAAGGATGTGAACATGGTAATGAGACCATAAAGCCCTGAAAGAGATAATGCTGCAACATAGTATCTGCACGCACGTACGGTTTCATTAGTTTCAAATTAAGGTTTCGGTGCTACTTAAACTTGCTCTCAATTCTTCAAACCTAAAAAAGGAAAAGCATATTCAACTAATATGCATACTGAAATCTGTGCCGGGTCTCGCATTTGTTACTTCGCAGGTTGATCGATCTAGGATACAAAATAATTCGATAATAAAATACATTGTCGCTACTCACAAAAGTGCACGTCTTACGTAAAGTTATCATGCTCCCTAATCGTCCTTATAGGTGGGGAAATAGAAACTCTCTACTTTTTGGGACGAATGTTAAGTTGGTGTGAAAATTCTCACTGTTAGTCTCAAAAAGTTTAAGATCGTTATCACCCAAATAAAATGTTTCAAGACTGAGGATGGGTGAAAGTCAGATCAAATTAGGCCAAGAGAAAATGAGCCAATAAAAAAGAGGGTGTATGAGAAAATGAGTTAACGAATTAAAAAGACAAGGACAAACGATCACACAAGCAAAATTTGGTTGGGCGGGTTCGGGCCTATCAATAAAACCCTAAACCCGAAATGCCAAAAATGTGTTTGATAATGCTTAACTGAAACAACCAAAAGTTCAAAGGTAAGTACATGATTCATCAAACTTACATGAAGGCCGGTGATTGAGTAAATTTAAAGGAAAGGGTTTCGTAGTAAGTTTGGCTGCTGTCAGTGTACCAATCTTCAGATTGCTTGCTACTTAACATGAACACAACACCAATCACAGATGCTGCAATCAATAAGCTCCTGAGAAGCAAACTGAAGCCGAAGTAAATCACAGGCTTGTTACTTGATCCCATCACTGTGATCGCGATCAGTCGATTTCTGTGGATCGATGCTATATGCTTCAAATACTGGCGCAATTGCCTCAATTAAAAATGTTGTTGGTTTTTAAGTACCAGATTATGGTCAGGAACATGTATACAAGCTATTTATGAAGAATGGGTTCAGAGGAATTTTAAGTTGACATTCTCTGCCGTGCTAATGAAATTAATTAGTTATATATCTGAGTTGTTTACTGTTGGTTGCGTACTGTATGTGAAACTTCTTTATCATCTCTTGGGGCCTGGCTGACATGATTATTTCATTTTTTAAGGTTGTTGTAATTGTTATTTTAAAAAATTCATTTTGCACTCTAAATTTTTTTTGTTTTGAGAAAATACATTTATGAGTACACAATAAAAAAAAGTGCCAATCAGCTCACCCTTTTTTAATTATTCTTTTATATTTGAAGTTAATTTATGTGAAATTTGTTAATGGGATGGTTGACATAGTATGTTTTGTAGGCTTTCAGTTGGTCTTATAGGCCTCGGTGATAGGGAGGATTGTCCTGGAATTTTAAGTTGACATTCTCTGCCGTGCGAATGGATTTAATTAATTATAATCTGAGTTGGTTACTAGTAGTTGCATACTATATGTCATGGATGGAGCCAAAAATATTTTTAGTGAGTCAACTTCGAATGATGAATTTAAATTAAAATTTTGAAAGAATGCTATCAATTTATTGTCCAACCTGATTTGAGTAACTAGTGTTTAGAAGGGTAAATTTGTAAACCATTAGCTAATGAGAAAATTACATAGCTCGAAATGGTAAGAGGGTAGGAAAAATATAGAACGTGAGAGGGTATTTTGAGTTTAGTGCTAAATTGAGACTTCATTTAGGAGTATATGGGTAATTTACAGTTTTAATTACACCATTTTTCCTAGCAAAAAGAGTTGAGTGGGGGCAGCTGCCCTTAGTGGGCACATCCTGCCCTGCCAGTGCTATATTTGAAACTTAATTATTTATCATCTCATGGGACATGACATGATTATTTCTTTTTCTAGGTTGTTGTGATTGCCACACCCCGATCTCGAGATATGTTTAGGATCAAGACGTGACGTCAGAAAGTACTTATTCAACTATCATGCTTCGCTTCCGAGACATGTCCAAAACAACCCAACGGTTCAATAGGGTAGCAACTTTTCTACTTCATGACTACATCTAACTTCTATGTTAGACTGCCTATGTAACCTAAGGTAAGATCAAGCCTTTCGTTGTTCATTGTTTCTCCGACATTTCCCATGGTACCATGAAACCAACTTTCACTTTCTGAATCTCACAAACGTATATTGTAATGTTACATATATTCTCTCTAATACAAAAAGAACTTGAAGGCAAACATTTTTGGACAGATGCATCTTCCTTGGCAGGCCTTGCACCTCATCATTTTTAAGTACTAAAATTAGCATTACTAAAGACCCGATAGCGCTGAGTGGGTCTATCTTGGTTAGTAGACCATATGTACTGCAGTTTGCATGCAAGTAGCACTTTACAGGAATTTACGCTTTTAAGCTTCATGCTGACAATAATGATAATGTGCAACCACTAGTATGAAGAGATAAATCAGGGATTATATTAGAATTATTACATAGAACTTGTACGTCTGTGTGATTAGATATTTATCTATCATGTGGAATCGATGCTTACAATTGTGATTCATATTGAAATGATGTATGTTGTATGATGTGTGATGATGTGACTACACCATGTAACAAAGTGGTACATGGATGGTCATACTTGGTTAATCTACATTGGGAGACCGAACTATTATGTGTTTGCTTATGATCATGCCTAGTTAATACGCATAAGGGGACTATATGTATTTTAGGGGTGATCTTGCTTGGTTAGTGAGGACGTGGTCGGGGCCCAAAGTGGACAATATCGTGCTACGATGGAGTCGAACCCGGGATGTGGTGGGGGCCTGGGCCAGGATGTGACAATTTGGTATCAGCCAATCCCTGGCCGGATGTGTGCCGACGAGGACGTCGGGCCCCTGAGGGGGGTGGATTGTAACATCCCACATTGCCCAGGGAAGTGAATCATGTAAGCCTTATATGTATATTCTCATTTCTACCTAACACGAGGCCTTTTGGGAGCTCACTGGCTTCGGATTCCATCGGAACTCCGAAATTAAGCGAGTTTGCGTGAGAGCATTCCCAAAATAGATGACCCACTGGAAAGTTCTCGTGTGAGGCCCCAATGTCAACTACATATACGTTGTTGGAAAGAAAACAAAAAACTGTCACCTATACATTAGTTTTGTGCTTAGTCAACCTCATTTGAAATAATAACATAAATTTATGTGGATGTAGCGCAGGTTATAGTAATTTTTTGAAGGCCACTCAACTGTTATGTTATTTGATACTGTCACATGGCAAGGACAATTAGCAAGTAAAGTTAATTTGGTGTGTATTGTGATTATTGTTTGAAAATATGTGACGTGGTCAAAAAGAGAGCAAGCTAACAACATCCTAGACAGGCACGGATCCAGAATTAAAAATTAGGGTGGGCTTAACCTCTAATTTTCCTCACCTAAAACTTTTGGCAAAGTCTCATATGTTTTTATATGATATTTTTGAAATTTTATACAACTTGTCAAACCTTGTATAATTATTTTTATATCATTATTTCCACTTCTTCAAGTACAATAACACTCATGAAAAAATCATATATAATATACATCAGGTGTATATGAAGTTTATGTATACAAAACAATGGTAGAAGAGAAGTATGAGGTGAACTGGTAAGAGTGAATCAGCTTCAGCTGGGTATAGCAAGATGGCTTAATGGATTAACTACCTATATATGTTTCTGCATCTCAAGTCTCGGGTGGGCTGCAGCACACCCCAGACAAGGCTGGGTCCGTGCCTGATCCTAGAGCAACATTAACTTGGAGATAGAGAGAGGGAGAGAGAACTAACCACATCAAAAAACGCAGAAGGAGCAGCATAGTTGCGGAAGCATGCGCAAATTAAGTAGATGACCAAACAAGACAACAACTCAATAACGACGTTACAAATGCCTGCCATAGATAATGCTACAACAATCTGCACCGTTTTATAATTCAAATTAAGCTTTGTAAAACTAATTAACAAAAGGTCCATTAACCCTCTCTCCTCCCATAGGTCTAATAAAATTTGACCTCTCAACCCTATCCATATATGATTATCTCTTTGTTTACTATAATAGTATTGACCCAAAGAGTAATGTTAGGGAGATTAAATTTTGAAACTAAATGATGTGTTATCAATATGAATAAGCACATTTATCAATGTTTAAGTAATAAACTAATCATCAACTTCCATGTTCTTTTTAGTTTCAAAACTTTATCTTGAAATTTAGTCTTCTTAACATTACCCATTAACCTAAGGGTACAATTAAAATGGCACAAAGGCGGGCAGAAATGGATTTACGCTAAACACACAATAGGTATGTGTTGGTCATGTGCTCGACAAAATATCTCACTTAAAAAGTTCGAAATTTTTTTGGTGCGCTACGCACGTTGTTTTTGGGATTCCAGAAGAATATGCATCCGCCACTACTAATTGTGCCTCCCACGACCGAACTTTCTAGCTGCGCCATAAATACATATATACTCTCATCACTGAATTTCCCCTTCATAAAAACGATTACCTAGCAAAAGATTTTAGCTTAGATGGATTAAAGTACTCTATCAAAGTTCGGGTTCAACTTCTCCCTTTTAATATCGGTGGTATAGAAACAATCATATTAAAGTATGCATTTGATATGCACAACACTTCACCCACTGTCACATCCTGGTCCGGGCCCCATCACATCTCGGGCTCGACTCCGCTATAGCACGATATTGTCCGCTTTGGGCCTCACCATGCCCTCACGGTTTTGTTTCTAGGAACTCACCCGAGAACTTCTCAGTGGGTCACCCATCATAAGATTGCTCTCACGAGTTCCTATGGAACCCGAAGCCAATGAACTCCCAAAATGCTTCGTACTAGGTAAAGATGAGAATATATATATAAGGCTTACATGATCCACTCCCCTGGGGATGTGGGATGTTACAATCCACCCTCTTAGGGCCCCAACGTCCTCGTCGGCACACTTTGGCTATGATACCAAATTGTCACATCTCGGTTCGGGCCCCACCACATCCCGAGCTCGACTCCGCCGTAGCACGATATTGTCCGTTTTAGGCCTCGACCACACCCTCACGGTTTTGTTTCTGGGAACTCACATGAGAACTTCTCAGTGGGTCACCCATCATGAGATTGCTTTCGCGCGAACTCACTTAACTTCAGAGTTCTGATGAAACCCGAAGCCAGTAAGCTCCCAAAATGCATCGTGCTAGGTAGAGATGGAAATATACATATAAGGCTTACAGGATCCACTCTTCTGGACAATGTGGGATGTTACAGTCTAAGTATAAACGTGTTGGTCAGATAACAATAATCAATATATACTGCTGTACTTTATAATATATGTAGTCAGAAACAAGCATGATACCCATATATCTATCTATAGCAGCCTACCCATTAGAATAATTGTGGAAGCAAAAATATGTCTAAATATGTGGCTCTAATTGTAAAGGGAGATGGAGGAAGAAGGTTTTTGTTTGATCACAGGTGATACACCGCAATCCGGAATGTCCACTAGGACTCCGAATCGAGCTGTGCTGGCCGACACCTGGAAGGTGACGAAGCCATAAAGTGTGATGATGTGGAAAAAGTAGATAAATTTAAACCTAAAAGTGTCTAAATACAAGAGTGTGCCGTGAGTGGAAATGAACCCATTTCACACGGGACGTCAGAGCATAAGTAAAGTACAGTAGAGTAGATTGAAAATCATACCATTGAAGGTAATCTCCAATACCAAGACTTGCCAAAAATCCTCGTAGATACGAAAGCTCTACTACTAGACTTGGAGGGATAAAACAAGAATGAGGTCAGAAAATAAAACTTTAATAAAAGTCTTCTCAACAATATAATCCCTCAACGTAACACCTGTTTAGCTTCTAGAAAATCATACTAAGGATAAACATGAAATCAAAAGTATACTAATATTACATCCAGAAGTATACCACATCACAGC